TATCGATAGATCTCCCGTTTAAACCTATGGAAAAGGATCGATGAACAGGGTGTTCGCGACGAACAAATTGATAATCGATTCTTCACCATAGCTTCAAATAGGGAAATATTGATAATCGATAATTCGCGCTTCGTCGCTGTTAAGAATCGCGACCTGCCAATCCGGGAAAAGCGAAGAAAAAGAGCGCTAGCAGCTCTAGTTAATTCATCGCCCATCAATTAGTCGCATTTATCCAATGAAACGCCGGTCTCGTAATAAATTGCACTCTTCAACGCGGTTGTCACGTCGGAGGTAAATCCCGATGGATTACCACCGATGAGCCAATTGCGGGAGTTATCGAATTATGTTTTTTTTTATAGTTGAATCCTATCTTCGATCATCCACGGACGGAATTTTCAGAAGAGAGATTTTTATACAATTGGGTTGACCCTCATACTGGAAAAAAACACACATTGAATCTAGAGTCCAGACTCTTGAAAACATTGATAAGAAAAAGGACTCTTGATTCAATCAGATTTAAGCTTAAATCAAAAGGAAATCCGCTCAAATTAAGAGGCTTATTGGTTCTTGATTTAAGCTTACATCTGATTGAATCAAGAGTATTTTATCTTGTCGATGTTTTTAAGAGTCTGGACTCTAGATCCAATGTGGTTTTTTTTTTTTTTTTTTTTTTTTTTTTTTTTTTTTTTTTCAGTGCAGGTTTTGAGATGTTGATGGAAGATTCTTCCTCCTGTCCAAAAGACCAATTTTTAGTTCATTTTCGTACTAATGAAGATCACAAAGATGAACGTAGCCTAGCAGTTTCGTGTTCTGCAAATTTCAAATTAGACGTGTGAGTGGTTTTTACTTGAAGCGAAGGTTTTTCAGCTGCAAACCTGAAAATGCCATGGCTTCGGTTTGGTTTTGACATTTTTGGGCGAATTCAATTCCAAATTGTTTGTTTAAAACTTCTCTTCACTCTAGTATCGATACTTTACGTTTGAGCTTTTGTAGATATGGGTCGATCTCTTTTTCCGGGAACGGTCTCATATTATTCTGGGAGTACCTAAAAGACTCGTCCGGACGCCAAGAATCGGGCCAAATGTTGACTAACAAAGGTATCTCTCAATGAAAAACACAAATTTCATCATTCAACGCACTTCATGATTCCTTCCTCCTTCGTTTCAACGACAATACCAGGTTCGAGTAATCAGTGCATCACTATCTATTGAGACAGATATGCGTAATGCAGTATTAAACAAGATATGATGTATCGCGATGGATGACGTCACTCTCTCCATGATATTTGGAATGGCGATATGTTTGTAAACATATACTAAACGTTGGGACTTGGAGTTGGGGTGAAACTTAAAATATTCAAATCTATGCAATTTAGTCACATTGTCGAACATTATTCTGTGGTAAGCGCCAGGAATTTTGAGTCTAATCAGCCAATGACCTCAATGCGAACAATCCTGCAGGCCGATTATTGAAACTTATAGACAAAGCTATAGACAAAGACGACAAAAGGGATTTGGAAGGATCCTATTGGTGGAAGCGGGTGGTGGCAATGGACATAGGAGGTAGGTAATGGACCAACTAACGGCAACCCACCAAAGACCCGACCGTTAGTACATCATTTTCTTCCTTAGTCTATAAGAACCAACTATGTCAACCAATAGGATCGCTCTATACTTCCTATGTCTTCTTTGTCTATCGCTTTGTCTATCAATTTCAATAATCGGCCCGCTGGCTTATGAAATGTTCCGAAAACACAATGCAGAGAAATAAGGGCAACAAAATAGTACCGAAGAAACTACTGATAACTGGGCGGATGGATTTCAAGAAAAAGGAATGAACGGACATCGCTTGGTTTCGGAGAAACGAAACCCTTGGATCTTAAAAATATCAAGGATCTCGTGGCGAAAACAAACTTCAAGATGGAAATAGTAAAACTGAAACTTCAGTTCTGGCCTCCAGGATGTACGGACAGTGCCGGAGAAAGAGAAAGAAAATGCGTGGGAAAACAGAGGGCTCGCAATTGTCAGTGGTCTGCAAAATCCTCCATACATAATGCATATTTAATCGCCGTTGAAAGCAGCGCCTGAGTGCATCCATTCAAGTATTAGAGGACTGTCCGCGTTGCATATGCAGGAGAATGAAGGCGTAATGGTAAGGAACTTTAATGGACTGCACGAGGTAAAGATCCCCTCTTTGCGATGATTCTTTTCGTAGTGACGTTAAATTTAGGGGCGCGCTAACTTCGACAAGTTGTACTAATTTTCCCCGCTATACGAAGGATACGGTGCGTGTAGGTGCCTTAATACCTCACGGTGAACGGCTAAAAAACAGGCAATGATGTTAAAATGAGCAGAGAATTTAACTTTGATTTAATTTCAAACTCGGGGGTCTCAACAAAACATGTCGAAGAGATGAATTGTCAAATCAAGAAAGTTATGATGTGCGTTACACTGAGAAGGACGAATCTGGGTACCTACAAAGAAAACTTAACCCAATCCGGTTGACTTGATGGGGTTTCTTTATGATTTGAGTATCCAACTTCTGCATCGGGAGACGAGAGAAAAATGGAAGGAAGAGGTACAAAAAGAAAATTGAAATAACAGAGAGGATAAAAAATGAAGAAAAACGAAGAAATACATTTCTTCTTCATACTCTTTTTCTTATTCCTCCTTTTTTTCGTCTTTTTTTTCCTTTCCCCCGCCTCTCCCTTTCCTTTCCGTTTTCCTTCATCCTTCGACTCTTCTCTTAGCCGCTTCTTTTTCTACGAATTCGTAACGCGACCTTCTCCGTCATAAGGCAGGACTCTAGTCCTTTATCCAAGTTTGTCAAACTGAAGCCAAAGAAAGAGCGTTCACACACTCACACCGTACCACAGTGCTGTACCAGACTTCACATCGTGTCTTTTTTTTTTTTTTAAAAGAAATTCTTCGAACAAGGGTCTTCACGACGCCAAAACATCCCCTTATCGACGATAAACGCTAGGCGGACGAAAGGCAACCTCACAGCGAGTTGGCGGCGTTAAACCGTCCGCTTTTCGCGATGACAGACTGACACGTAACAGTGACAGACTGTCTACCGACCGGGCGAAGGATGCAGGGGGCAGGAGGGGAAGCAACGTCACTTTTATGAAGAAAAATTATTGCCAACCCCTCACCCCCTCCCCCCCGGGTCTTCCTGTATGATAAGCTTTTGGATGGCGCCTACGCAGCTGCGCGTCCGCCACCCTCGTTGAGCGCTCCCGGTTTTCCTCCCCCCCACCCTCCCCGCCCCCCTTTTCGGCGGGGTGCTTAGTGACAATCATTTTGACAGACAGTGTCGGTCGGGTGGCATCAATAATACCTGCCCCTGGAACCTTAACCTGATTGTAACGAGGAGAAATTGGGAGAGGAGGAGGGATCTTGAGAAGTGATTCTTTTTCAAGTTGACGTATGACGTAAACGCGGTTTCTGCCCTTGGAGTGGCTCAACCGAGCCGCGCTTTTTTGAGTCACGGTGAAAACCCGACGTTGCTTTTTTTCGTGGGTAGATCTCGGAGCGAATAGATAAAAAAGCGTTTTATAGATCACATTCTTAGGTTTTGAACACGATGGAAGTAGGCACCATATTTGGACCGCGTCAAACAGAGAGGAACCAAGCCACATCAGCTATTGCCAAATTTAACAGGGGAATTTGATTAATTACGAGAGAAGGTTTGTGCGGATTCCTTTGAAAATTTTAAGAAATTTGCTCTGTATTATCGAGAAAATTCACTGAAATTAGCACAAAAATCCGCACAACCGTTCTCATGTAATAAATTAAATTGCCCGATTAAATTTGGCAATAGCTAATGTGGCTTGGTTCCTTCCTGTTTAACGCGGTCCATTTAACGTTCCCTGCGCAAGGTAGATTTACACAGGTATGGAAAAGTTGAAAATTTCCCATGAGCCTCAGTACGTGTCACATGACCTCGTGACGTAGGTTAAGGGGCCCGTTTTTTAATTAAATTACAATCAAATTAACATTCAAACGTTTGTGCGTTTAAACGCTAAAATTAATATCGCATAACCAAAATTGTGCAAAAAATCCCACAAAATTTTGACAAACGATAAACCGAACATAATAAATCAAAATAATCAAAACATCCAAAATGGCTGACGTTAAGGGGCCGCTGGAGAGCCAATCAGAGGCCAGTTGTTTAGTTCTGTCCATACCTGTGTAAATCTACCTTGTTCCCTGCGTCTATTTTGTCTTCCTTAGTCCTTCTTAGCTTTTTCCACTACTTAAAACTCTCATCCAAAGTAGGTACAGTGAGTTTTCAAAACTGAGGGGGCCAAGGAATTTTTTTTCTTTTTTTTTTCTTTTTTTTCCGACAACGAAATTTCGATTATTAGAGATCGGTTTCAATGAACAAACTTGAGATGAGGACAATATGAAATGATTTCTATGATTCAAAGTCAGGTGATCAATCTTACCGATCTGCATAAAAATAAGAAAGCCACTGAGCCCGTTCTTATAAAGCAATTGTTTCTATCATTTCGTTAAACAGCTAGAGTGTGCGATCTTGATTCCGAATTGGAATCGTTGAGCATTGCAGTCTAGCCATATCAGATTATACTGGGTTGATTTACCCACTGATCGAGGTAAAAAAAAGTCGAACTGACGCGACGCAGGGGAAAAATTCCTGGTTTTTAACGAAATATGGAGATTCTTATGGAGCCCGGATTTTCTACAAGCTCTTCGAATTCATAAGCTTTGAAATAGCAAACGTGCACTGTGCTTTAACTCATTGTCAGAAATCAAACTCACTGTGAGTGTAGACGGCTGCAGAACAAAATTAAACACCACTAACCATTTGCGAGTTGCAATACTATTTCTTAAGCTTGAATTAACGCTGTAAATATGACCAATAAAACCCTTCTAAACGATTATCTTTACTCGACTGTGATAATTGAAAGGATAAACTATTGAGGATAATTTACGTGTTGGTAACATACGGTAGTGAATAAAATAAAATGAACTTACATGGCGGAAATCGACGAGTTGTGTGATGAGGGTTCCGTCGGACCTTTGGAACTCGAGAGTGACCACATCCTCGCTTACGTTGGCAGAGATGGTTTCTTGCAACACATCTCCACCCTGAAACAAAAGCACACCCGTTATTTTAGCGTCCATTCAGGCAAATCACAAGGGCATTAGGAGCTGTATATTCATAGTCGTTTCTTGAACAGTTCATTTCCTCATAGAGCCTCATTACCGCTTAAATTGTGATTAGCCCTTCGATTCCTAGGCCTGGTCAAATTAGCTCGGGGCTTGCGAGAAACGTGTTCTTAAGGGGCTTATGGGACCGGTATTTACGAGATTTAGATACAGGTCTACAAATATGTACTAGAAAAAGAATCAGACGTTAAATGAAACAAGAAAACAATTGAGTATTAACACAGCCAAAGATTGGAAAGGCGTATTGGGGCCTCTTTATTTAAACTTTCTCCCAAATCTAATTATAAGCGATACTCCTTTGGCAGCGTACAGCGGAGCATTGCGCTTTCACGTCCCGCGCCATCGCGCCTTCAATTTTGTGGACGCAACGCGGACGTCCATCGAGCACGAATAGTTGTATCTCTGCGCCGTCATCAACGCAGTCCTTTCCTCCTCCGCTCTATCTTCGTGTTGTGTTTATTTCCGTATGTCTTATTTGTAGTAGTGATGCTTGAAGGGCTACATGAGGAACCCAGTCAAAAAAAAGAGATATATAACGGCCTCCATTTTTAACTTTTCTCCCGAACCTTAACGATACCCTATTAGCAGCACAGCGCCGAGCATTGCGATTTTACGTCTCGCGCCATCGCGCCTTCAATTTTGTGGACGCAACACGGACATCCATCGAGTGCGAATAGTTGTATCTCTGCGCCGTCGTCAACACGAGTCCTTCCCTCGAACGGGAGCGGGAAATGGTCTTACTTTCACCTACAACAAAGCCCTTTCACACATTTTCTTCTTTTTTCCGGCTGCCTCTCCTCTTTAGGGTGAGCAGAAGAGACTGCTCTTCGTTTTCCCGACGAAATAACGTAACTTTATTTCAATGCTGCTAAATTTCTTCTTGTAAATTGCATTTTAACAAGGAGAATCTCGAGCATTTTCCCCCGAAAATTTCCGAGATTTTCCCTCTGATCTCGCACGGTAAAATTTCGGACTAAAATCGCACAGGTACATTTATGTGAAAAACTGAATTGTTGTAGCCAATTTTGCAACCTTGGAATGAAGTTACATTTCTTCGTGCGGGAGACAACTTATCGGTCGTACCCTCTCTAGATCCACTAACGTCACGCCGTTACCTTCCGGCCAAAGTATCACAAGCGCCATGCGACCTTTAAAAATTTCGGCCACCATTTCATCTTTTTACAGAGAAATTGTTCAACGAAGCTGTTCGAAAATTTTCCAACAGATTTAACCAACAGTTTCTTTGTTAAAAATTATAAAATTACGGCGGAAATTTTTAAACGTCGCAAGGCGGTTTTAATACCATGACCGGATGGTGACGATTTCTTCCTGAAAATTATCGAGCTTTTCCCTCTGGTCTCACGCAAACTCCGTAAAATTTTGGACGGAAATCGCACGCACTGGAAAAAAAAACACATTGGATCTAGAGTCCAGACTCTTGAAAACATCGACAAGAAAAAGTACTCTTGATTCAATCGGATTTTTGCTTGGATCAAAAGGAAATTCGCTCAAGAGGCTTGGTTCTTGATTTAAGCGAAAATCCGATTGAATCAAGAGTACTTTTTCTTGTCGATGTTTTGAAGAGTCTGGACTCAACATACAATGTGTTTTTTTTGCAGTGAGGTAAATTTTTGAAGAAAAAAAAGAATTGTTCAAACCAATTTTGCAACCTTGGAATGGAGTTACGTTTCTTCGTGCAGGAAACAACGTATTGGTCGTCCTCTCCCTAGATCCACAAACGTCACGTGTGCCATTACGATCAGGAAAAGTAGAGTACCTATATTGAGAGAGTATGGCCACTGGGCCCCATGGAGAGGCTTAGGACCCAAAAATGGCGGTGCTTTGTTTTGGTTTTTGTGGATGGGAGGGGGGTCATTGCCAACTTTTGACGGTTATCACCAACCGCACTTGCTGCCAACCTTACTACATATAAGATAATTTTTCTCAAAAATTGCACACGATTAGCCTTAAAAATATGTATAAAAGTCGCAATAGTGCATTTTGGTAAATTTCTCGTTACAATAAGCAAAGAAAACTACATTTGGAGTCATTTTGCATTACATTGATTTATGGTGTCCGCCATTTTTGGGTCCTAAGGACTCCATTCAGCCTTAGATGGCTGAGCCAATCAGAGGTGGTAACACCAGTGGCCATACTCTCTCAATATAGATACTCTAAGGAAAATATGAGAAGATTAATTTTTCCGAAGCTGAGGGTAGGCTCCAGGCTCGGTTCCGACTCGGGTTCAAATGGTCATTCCGTCGATACCCCGACATCACGGGTCATTACGAAGTTGACGCCGTTCGCGCGCGATCGCGGGAGTTTTCATAGTCGAGCGAGCACACGAGCATCGCATCGTCGCACCAGTCCCTTGCTCGCTTCCTCCGTCCGAACGAACGGTTTCCCATTCATGTCCTCCTCCCCTTCCCATACATAAACATGAGCAGTCCAACTTCACTCCGCTTCCCGCGGGAGAAATCCCCCCCTCCCCTCTCAACTCCTCCCCAGCCCGAGATGGAAAATTGTAATGGGTAAGTTGATATTGATATGCTAACTATTGGTATTTCGCCACGGAGCCTTGCTCCAGTTTACGGGACGCTATGACGAATTGAATGCATGAAAAAGTGGCGAGGCTTTTCTTGCTGCTATAATTTCTTCACATATTCTGAAAAAAAAAAAAAATTATCTTTACCTACTTTTTTATGATTTTAATTTTTCTCGTAACAAACAGAGCACTACAGGTTTTTGCACATCCCTCTTTTTGTGATTGGATATTTTAAAAAATAATAAATCATAACTGTTTAATAATTTTTCTCTCATTTTTGATGAATCGGAACATTATTTGTGCAGGTTTTCAAGATGTTTCCCGATACTTACAATACTGCGGTAACTGAGTTTTATAAAAATCAATGTCCTCTTCATTCTTGACGTATCAAGAGAAACAATACTTGAGAGGCTTTAATGCCGTTTTTTTGGTCTCATGTGTTCGATATTTGGATATTTCAACAAAGTCTCTGACATTCTATCATTCTTAGAATGCTCAGTGAAAAAAAGAACATGCCGGTTCAGAAATTTTATTTAGAGATCCCAATCATTGAACAATCCGCAGATTTTTTTTTATTACATTCAATTTTCAACAATCGTAATTTTTCATGAGGAAAATGTTAAGGGGGGCTTTTACTTAAACTTATATTATGAACGGAAATTCCCGCCAAGTTATTTTTTTCACAAGTTCCCTGGTTTTTACCTAATTGGTCACAAGGGTCGATAGAAAAAAAAGTTAAAGATTTCACCTTGTCGAACAATCCTTCTAACCACATGTAAAGGGCCTCATCGAGTATAGGTACATCAGGATTAAGAAGTTCTCATTTGATTAACGAGAACCCTACAAATCGTCGGCTCAGGATGTGCCTAAGAGTATTTTCTTAGAATTTTCTACATTTAAGAGGCAGGTATGCAACCAGCGCAACAAACATTTGGGATTTTTCTCTTCTGGTCAGTCAATGCAAACCAACGCATAGAAATCCCAAGAAGTCAATTAGGAAGGGAAAATGACTTTTGAGTAAGATACTACTGGCTCCCTTAACTCTCATCTTCGGTTCGGTAAAATATCCAGAAAAAATTGAAACCTAATAACATTTTCCAAGGAAAAATTTAAGTATTCCTTGTTACTTAATTTCACCTAAAGGCAAGTTTAGCTGAACAAGAAAGAACGAAACGACAAATCATCATGATTTGGCTCGCATTATAATGCAACATTCAATTTCTTCAACTCTTCAGTTCTTTTAAGACAAGAAAACTATTTCAAACCAACTCTCCTTTTACCACCTGGAGGCATTCATAAGAAATTATAAGACCGCTTATACCTACCAAAAAGAAATTACTAACTCTAAGAGCTATATCAAGCATTATCTCAGTTGAAAAGATCTGCTTATTTTGAAACAACTTGCTTTAACGCGATGTTTTTTTTTTCTTTTTTTTTCCTTTTTTAAATTAACTTCAAAAAAATTTACTTTCCAAATGAACTCGGTAAAATTCTTATATTCTCGTAGAGGGCAAGAAAAGAAGTATTTTACAGTAAGAGAGTTCAATGTTCTTGCAAATCAGAATAGATTTCTTCCAAACCACTTCAACAAGGAGATGTTATCTAGAAGTATCACTTAATTACTTTTTTTAATTGTAGCCAAACTACTTTTAATGATATTTTTTTTAAACAGAACCTACTAGGTCAGGCTTGGCACACTTTCTGATTTACAAAGAGAATTACTAATTCACTATTCAGGCCTTCTAGAAAGACCTTAATTTTCCAATTTGAGTCCTGTCAACTCTACCTCTTCAGAGTAATCCAAGCTTTGGCCTTGAAGCCATGAAATGATTTCTTTGGGTCCACTGCTTATCTTTTTTTTTTTTTTTATAGAATTTAAAATCATGAGAGTGATGTGAAACGGTAAGCAGTAGGATGGAATTGAGTTAGCATCAATTCGGCAACCAGACATGTAGTGGAGGGGGAGTTTTGACTTCTGCATCATTTAAAGTCTGCGGTGAGGACTATTTTTTTTATCAATATTAAAATTTTTTACTTATCAATTTATTTGCTTCAATTTCTTCAATTTATACTTAATGCAGGAAATTCATATGATTAAAGGTCAATTCTCCGCTCCATTTTCGATTTCGCAAAAACGCTTTGCTTACACTGGTAAGTGCAGGCAATCTGTTCACCCGACTCGAGAGCTTGGTCATCAAGTTGAGTTGAAAATGAGTGAGTGAATTAATATATCCACACATGATTAGACAATAGACTCCATGTAATCAAATGAGGAAATTTTAGGTAGGTTCCAGCTTTCACACCTCTTGTGCAAACATAAAAATATAGGCAAGAGAGGGTAGGTTCAACATAAATATGTTGAGTAGGAGGTAAGTGTGCTTTAAGAAATAACTTCGATTGTTGATTTCGTTCTTTGATTTTGCATCCATTCTCAGCTTGTGGCCAGAAATCTTGGCCCTTGGAGATTGGTTCCTTTTTGGAAGATTTTTTCATATATAATAATAAAAACATCCGCATACGCTTATAACAGTCACATATCAGTTCACAGCAAGCAAGGATATGCTACCTACTGCTAAATGCTGAATATTTTGTTCCTTTCTCTAAGAGCGAAACATGGCATTACCTAGTTTAGGAATTATGTCATAAATATTGAGAGACAAAATGAAAAACAATTGTGAATCCCCAAAATATTTGGCTTTTAAATCTGCCACAAAGAATGATTTAATGATATGCCCACGTTACCTATGAGGGAAAATAATAATTGAGTAATGGCTCTTATAATGTAGAGAAAGGTTTCAAAGGAAAATGAGGTTTGATTTGCTAATGGAACATTGTAAAATGTCAGATCACCAGCAAATTATTACTCATGATCCCAGGAGATTTTGTGGTTCCGTATAATGACTCAACAATTAAATTCATTTCAGAAACTTTTCGAAAGTAACCTTAGAATGCCTCCAGATATTTAGCTCTCCTCAGACGTGATGTGCTGGGTCATGCCTACAAAAATAATGGTGAGCTGAATTTTAAATGTTACGCTCTCATTGGAATGGTTCTGGAAGTACAATGTTGTAAAAAAGAGACAAAATTTTGCATACTTACTTGCGAAATTTAACAATTTAATGGGACGAGTTTCAGGGCTACTGCCGGCTGATGATGGGGCCATCTGGACTCCGAAACGCGTCCCATTAAATTGTTAAATGGCACAAGTGAGTACGCGAAATTTTACCTCATTTTTACAATATTCTCTTATGACTGTCCTCTACAAAAGTTTCTAATGAAAATGTTGTCGCACTTGATAGCCATGATTCCGAGCAGGGTTTCTCAACACCTTTAGAAACTCCTTTTGCTACTTGCTGAACGCTCATCTATCCCTCACAAAGTAGTCAATCAGATAGTAATTCAAACAGAAGAGGAGGACAAGGACCATTTTACGGTGAGCGATACCAATAGGAAACCTTTGGAAGTTTTGACTTCAGGAGCGCACTTGCGTCTAGCCTCAGTACTTATCTATCACTCCTGCTTGTCTAAATAAATTTAAGTTTGCCCTCTGAACACTGAGTCGAGATTTTAGGGAAGCCATGGGGAACTACAGCAGCGGTTGATGATGATCATCCCAAAGGAGGGATATCAAGGGAACTTCCTACGTCTAATCATGTAAAATGAGGTGTTTATGATATGAGAATATGATAATAAATGATGCAAATGAGGAGATGGAGAGAGACTGCGGACTCAGAGTATAATGTAAACAGCGTCGATAAAGCATGATGTGTTGCAGGTGGCAGGCATTTCTGTCTGTTGAAATAAAAAAACACTCCTGCAGATGTTCTTCTAATCAACACGTAATAAATATGAATAATAAAATACCTGATTTTGAACATTTATGAGTAACTGCTGGTCACAAAACTGGATGAAAGTTGAAACACACAGTATGAAAGTAAACACGTTGATAACAACACTCATGTTCGAAATTGAACCTTTCACGTCCAGCTCAAAGTGTTACTGTAAGAACTAACATTGCTGCGCGACTCGAGATTATTTCGTGGAATATTCGCCACGAAAAACTTAGCTATTCTTCCGAAAACGATGGTGAATTCAGCACGATAACAGTAAACACGCGAAATAAAACAAACGAGTTCCTGATAATCACAATCGGCCTTGACCAACGTGAGTGGTTCCTTCCATCGAGCAGGGAGCAAAATGCAATACAAAAACAGAATGGCATAGGATTGTCAACAAGACTTGTTCTATCAGATGCATCTAGATCGCAGCACACAGCAAGAAATCAATTTTCAAGTTTAGTTGAGCGTTTCACCCATAGATAACGCTACTTGCTTGACAACATAGGAACAGGAAAATGTTCGTATGATTTTTGTTTACTAATTGGAACAACAACAACAACAACAACAAACAGTGGCAAAATCTTTTTGTGTCTGAAGACATTTCAACAGAATTCATTGTGATAACGAGTGAACCCTTGATTTTTTTTTTCAAATTTGTCGTTGTCGAACTTCTCTGTTTATATTTTCTGAATCTAAAGTGCCAAGTTGAACATTTCTAGAATCATTTTCAGCATGGAAAAGAGCGGGGATCCAGGACATAACCTCACTCCAACTTCTGAAAACACCCCATCATCTGGCGAAACACCGAGGCCAAAAATCAAATATGACTGGTACCAATCAGATTCTCATGTCACAATAACAGTTCTTGCTAAAAATTGTAAACCTGATGATGTCAAAGTTAATTTCACAGACCACAGATTTGTATTGGATGCTAAACTCTCAGATGGCTCGGATTACAACCTACAATTAGACTTACTTCACGCCATAGTGCCAGACCGCTCCAATTTTAAAGTCCTCCCATCCAAAATAGAGGTGCGGCTTGCAAAAGCATCTGGTGACAGATGGAGTGGTCTTGAAGGTGAACCGCGCATGGTTGTACCTCAGCCTCGGAATTGGGATGCGGTTGTCGGTAACTTGCTGAAGGATGACGATGCAGAAGGAGAAGCTGCCCTGAACGCGCTGTTCCAGAAGATCTATGCAGATGGTAGTGATGAAGTCAAGAAGGCTATGAACAAATCGTACATGGAATCAGGAGGGACTGTCTTGAGCACAAATTGGAATGAAGTTGCTAAAGACAAGGTGGATGTTAAACCACCTGATGGAACAGAATTCCGCAAATGGGAATAATCATCTCTCACCTTTCGTCAAAGTGTATGTACCTACCTACCTAATTCGTTAACTAATTGACTTAAATATTTGTTAATTAATTCATAAACTTTTGATACTTCATCATTTTTACCGGCTACAAAAATGTCACAATTTTTACCTCCTATTCGGTATTCATTTTTCTCGTTTCATCTCATTTACTTAGTTGTATTTTTATGATGAATATCTGTCAAAGTTTAGTTTCTTCCCAGCCCTCTCTTCAGCACTTTTCGGAGGCTGTATTTTTTCCTAGCAGTTCTGTCCTCCCAAAATTCTCAGTCTTGATTCTTACATTTGCTATTGACAATTATTAATGAGCTTTGAGTGTTGCCCTTCTTTTTGCTTCTGATTTTCTTGTAATTGATTCTCTTAAGTGACCCTGCGGTTTAAAATAGATAGGGTTATTGTGGGCAAATATGTGACTGGGGACCCTTTCTACTCGGAGAAAATTCTCCTCAACTTTGGGTCAAAACTTAAATCACATTTTACAACCTTAAAAATTGTTGTCTTAGAACTGCAGGATCAGGACTCATATCTCCTTATATTCTTGAGGTTTCAGGGTCAAACTTGCTCTAAAATTTCCAGATAGTTTTCCATGCTTATGCAAGAAGTTAGGGAAAATTGTTCTCCCAGAAGACAAGGTCCCTTTTAAAGAAATCCGGTCAGCTATTTCATGTTTTCTGACCTTCAAAATATGACCAACACTAATTCAACTGCCCGGCATTGATTTACTGCTTATGAGAAGCATCCCTGTCATGAATCCTAGGTATCGCGAGAATTAGCCCCACCATCCAATTCCTTATTTCTGCAACCAACAATGTGCCTTGCTTTGAAGTAAATAATCATGCAATTAGATCCTAACAGATGCTCCAATTTCTAAAACTGAGGCATCACCGTATCCTTTGGAAGTTGAGTGAGATCAAAAACTAAAATATCAAATCAAAATTGTGTACAATGGGTCACTATTGTCAAAATATCCCCCCAGACTCTCAGAGCTTACCTGAACATCTCTGAAAAGCAGACGTTGACCATGATCAACTGTACAGCTTGTTGTTAAAATGTGAGCCGTGTATTCCAAAATAGTGCATATTGAATCCTTTTTTCTCTTAAATTGTAATCAGATCTTTTTTTCTCCTTCAATCAATTTACCAGCAGCAGCTAGTTTTGCTTGAAGTCGCAAAAGGCATTGAATATAAGTACTGGTTTGAATGTAATGCTTTCAAAGAATGTGAAAGATAATCCCCAGAGTAAGTATATCTTTTTTAGGTCCGAAGTAAACAATTTTTGAGCAGATCATCCACACATGTACTTAATTATTCAACATGTACAAATGACATTTTTGGAACATTCATAACATTTAATCCATTTACTTCTTTACACTCAATTTTTTTCCTTCTTCACATCCATAAGTATTGACATTAATTCGATGAGTTGAATTTTTTTGGGACAAGTTCTCTCTGAATCCGTCGTTCATGTTAAATGGAAAACTGCAATCAGTCTTCATTTTTTGAGCAGCTTAAGAATGTTCCATCTTGGCTTGCAAAGCTGGTTTTCTAAAATTTTGTCAAATCCAACTTTTTCAATGCTTTTTTATTTAATACTGTGTTCATTGTTTTGAAGAACTTCAATAAAAAAAAAATCCTCAAAATTGATCCATCCGTTTCTCAATTAATGACGTTTCCAATATCCTTACGAGTACTATAATGGAGAAGCAAGGCATTTGTGAACCTTCAAAAACATTATTAACTGCTGTACTTGTAAATGTCTATTTAATTTTCTGAAAAACATTTTAAAAGAGAAAAAAAGTCTTCGCCTTAATAAAATTAAGTACTAATACTCGAAATTTTGTGGCGTTTCAAAGTAAGGGTTTTTGAATTTTCATCCATGCTTCACCATTGGTCTGTTTTAAGAATGATCAATATGTCTACAGACTTCAATGGTTGTGAACTTGATTTTGAAGGGGAAAAAAATTGGTACAATCTGAGGGGCATTGATATTGATCTAATGTTGTTCAGTTGGAAAAGGAGATATCTCCTGAGGAATCTTAACTTCTGTGGTACTTTATACTTTGAGTTTGTAATCTCCCTAAAGGACTTGCTGGATGCAATTAAAAAATTTATAACTCCAGGAGAATCATTTGTTTCCTTATATTTATTTCAAGTAAAAAGTTTAAAAATTTTTTTTTTTTAAAAAAAAAAGGTAACACTTTCTAAGTTTAACAACAACATTCCTGTAAAAATTGAAATATATATTAATTAACTCAAAAGTACATTGTATCTTAATCGCAGTCTCTAAAAATGTCTGCTCCTATCTTATTTTTTGAAGAAAAACAAACTAATTCTCTTGTTAGCGATTATCACAGAATGCTTTACAGAGGAAAACTTGTCATGATAATTTGCGAGTGATTATGCTGACTAGTTTCATAATTACAAATGAAATAAGACAGGAAGTCAGCATCGTCAGAAACCAACATAAGTAACAAAAAGGTAGAAAAGTAAATTCTACTTTTTAAAACTCTAGAGAAAACTTTAATTTTTCCCCCAAGAATTCTGATTTCTGATTCAAGAAGAAAATAAGAAATTTAGAGTATTTCGGACACCGTGCACGAAAGACATGCGCCAGCATATAGCATGTCAATGGCAAAAGTGCCAACAACGTACCTCCATTGTGGTGTTTCAAATATTCTGCTCCTATTTAATTCTTTTGAAGAGACACAAGCCGACTAAATAGCTTGAGTTTTGTACAGAACATTCTGCCTTCAGCAAAGAAAAATCAAGGAAGTTTTCAAGAAATTAAATTAACCAGTTTTAAAAGAAGAAAGAAAATATGACAGGAAGTCTGCAGTTGCAAACGGAGATATGTTTCGCACTTTGGTCATCAATAACGAGATTACGCTCCGCAGAGGGGAACTCCAATCAGGAGCAGAGTTATTTTAGCTCTTTGGAGGAGGAGCAATTTTTGCTCTATTTTGAAGTATTTTGAAGTCTGTTTGAACTATTTTGATTTAATCTGATCAGCAATTATGCAACAAGAAATTCAAATTTAGAAGGTAGGGGAGAGGGTGTTTCTCTGTGCATGGGTGGAGAGCTTAATGAAAAAGTTACCTATAGTCGGCGCCACGAAAAGTGGCGGGTGAGGGGCGGAGCCAGTCGGCCGGTCCAGTCCATCGTTGAAGGGTTGAAGCACAGATAATGGCCCAGTTGTTACCCCACCTCAACGACAGCCAACATCTGCGCTTCAACCCTTCACCGATAGACTGGACCGGCCGACTGGCTCCGCCCCTCACCCACCACTTTTCGTGGTGCGGACTATAGCCCTACTGAGGATAGCACCATTGGCTCAAGTTATTTCACATCCTCCCTCAATGAAACTTGTTTTTCGTTTTTCCTTTCTGTTCCTCGCCCTACTTTCATTGAATAGCTCTCTCCATATTTGCAAAGAAACATGGTTCAAGTTTTCAGGCCCTTTTAGATGGCTCCTAATTTAAAAGGATCAACCTCAATTACTAGAATATGGATGTCCATGACATTTGTTCCTGTGTGACCAGTTTTGATGAGATCTGCACCATTATTTAGTTTGGAGAAGAAAGTGAACGAATCATTATTCATCAAGTACTTCTGTGCATCTAAACCTTGATCTGCTGCCTCTCTCATTTGAGAACTGTGAGTCATAGCTCCGGCTGCGTCAGTGGGACCATCAATCCCATCAGTGCCACCACTCAGAAACCAAACTTTGAATGGTTTCATCCACTCATTAGTAGCAGCTAACTCTGACAAACGAAGCCCTAAATTCAGTGCTAGTTCTTGATTGCGTCCTCCTATTCCATTCCCTTTCACCTGGACTGTCGGCTCACCACCCATTACGAAACATAAAGTTCTGGGTATTTTCTGCTTCTGTCTATTTACTCTTCGTTGAATTACATTAAAAAGTTTCAATTTATCGGCAATACTCTTGTTGTGGTAAAAAACTATATCATACTTATTTAGTAACTCATTCAATAGAACTTCTAACTCTTCCTCTACCACTATGCCTAAGTAACTTCGGCACATGAGCTTGACTAATTCAGTATAAAACTCAGCTACATTATCAACAAGACCTTGAACAGAATTGGACAGTATATATGAAAGAGAAAAGTAGCTCCCACCAAAGCCAGCAATGCCTTCAAGAGCAACCTCATTATTACCTATGATTAAATTTTGCACGTGACTCAAATCGATAGGTTCTTCCACGGATTTACATAAAGTTGCTGAAACGCTCTCTGGTATATGATCATACACGGAGTATTTTTTTAAAATATCGATTGCATCCTTAGGCAAACACTGGGGAGCTGCGGTGGGCCCACTGGCAATAAAATGAATTGGGTCATTTACAATATCAGACAGAATTAGGCTTATTACTTGTGCTGGGTATGCTAGTGTTGCTAACTTCCCCCCTTTGAGTTGGGAGAGGTTTTGTCTGACTCCATTCAACTCGGTGATAGTTGCCCCTTTAGACGATAGCAATTTTATGGTTTCTATTTTTTCATCAAGACTGATTGGATTTATTGGAAGGGGTAATAAGGCAGATCCACCTCCTGAGATGAGGACTAATAGAACATCATCTTCTCTCAAATCTGTAACCAGCTTGCTAATGCTATTGGCAGCTTCGAGGGCTCTCTGATCAGGAAGGTTGTTCACAGCTCCTTCAAAAACAGAAAATTTAGAATTGTCCTTGAGATATAAGCCATCTTTATGCCTGGAAGACGAAAAAATCACACAATCAGAATTGTTAGTTAAATTAAAATGTATTTTTGATGCACCTAATGAGGATCATTCTTTTCTTATGTGCTTAACTCTCTAAGGGGTGGATAGCAGTCTTCATTGGCGTTAAATAAGATTACAAGAGGGATAGGACAGTACGAGGAAACTATTTTTCCCGTGGATTTAAACAGTGTTTCATATGCTGTCGAAACTTGTTTTCCTTATGGATCGATGCTTAAAAAAAGTGCCTGTGAATAAATGCCACTTCATTGTTATTTTCTTAATTCACTCCGGTATCTTTACTTGGCCTCATCGAATATCTACTCAGGTAATTTAACATGGTTTTTTGCAAGTTTTGTAATTTAATGGAGGCTGTTCAAGGCCAGTGCACCACAGCGTCACTTACTTAGAAAGCATCACTCGAGGCAAAAAAAAGATGTCAAAAATTCGGAATTCCGCTAACATATCGACTGTGAAAGTTGGCAATCACATAACTCGGTTTGCGACGTTGCAGTTTTCCTGTCATACTTTATTTTTTAAACGGAAAATTACTCAACAGCAATTCTTTAAAACTGCCGTGATTTTTCTTCTCTATGCGAAGAAAATTCTGCAAAAACTTCAAGAAATGACGTCAATTTGTTCTCCTTTAAAAAAATAACATAGAGGCGGAGATTTTCAGACACCGCAAACCAGTTATGTGATTGCCGACTTACACCGTCGATATTTAATTTTGGGATGGGACCAAAGACATTTGTTGTGAGCACCCTGAGACAGCAAGCAACTTTTGAGATTGACGTGCAGTCTAAGAATGGCTCATGGAGCACTCTACGGCATGGCCCAGTACTGAACATTTAAAAGAAAACAACAGCCATCATACAATCTGAAAATGGTCCGAGTTTCCTGGAGACACACTAAGCTGGATCAAGTTTGAACCAAGGAAAGGAGGCTTGAAGTATAATGCCTCCACAAGGCTCAATGTCATGGACAGAGTTTACCTTTACGACTCTTCTCATGTTCAAAATGTACTTTCTCGACTTTGAATTTTTAAGGAGAGAAAGTTCACCACAGGTTGAATTCAAAACTAATCTTGGCTACCTACTTGTTTCCAAAATGAGACTTGGTGCGTTACTGTTAAATTCAGTTCAAATCATTATTGAATTGCACCTAATCCTAGTGGGCAACTGGAAGCAGAATTTAATTTCCCACAAATTTCTACAATAGAAGAATAATAATGCATCGGTTTTGCTTTCAATTGGATAATCAATTATATCTGGTGAAATTTTGAATAAGAAGTAGATACATTCAAACTTTAGTGCCTTCTACTTCGACATTGAATGTAAACTTTTTATAATGACCTCCAGAGAATTTCTACCTCAGAAAATGGGTGCTTTGTAAGAGCTAGAAACTTACTTGTTCAGTTTTCTTGTTCCAATAGGCATACTAAGAATCCCTTGAACGAGGTTTTCCTGTAGGAGCTCTTCCACCTGACATGCCATTCCAAGAACAGCTTTGCCAAATCCAACACAGTAATAATTCTTGGTCAATGGGTATGTCTTATCTCCCACAACAAGTTGCTCGTTCTTTATTTTAAGTGCTGCGGAAACTAATGCATTGGAGCGGACATGATTCACACTGTTCAAAAACATTTGCCTCAATATAGACCTCATTTTCGGCTGGCTCCCCTCTGAAATAGGAAACAGAAGGAATTGAAAGGGGGAAAAACAGCAAGATACGCAAAAGTTGTGAAGAAACATTAATGGTTTTTCACAATGAAAGGAGTTTACCTTTGTTAACCCTTAGCATGGCAGACAGTAAGATTATCCTTTCCATTTCCACTGATTCAACATTGGTAATAAATATCTTGAATTCCTTATAGTGTGATAGTGTGTGCCCTGGTAAGTATTGAAATATTTCATATAAAAAAGGATGCAAAGTACAACATAATTTTCAATTTTCTATTAAAAGTTCAAACGTTTTCAGGCCCCTAAGCTCCATACTATTTTTCACTTTAAATTCGTTTTACGCAAAATCACAATATAATCATGCACTAGACCCTTTTATAGGAGAAAGAAAAGTGACTTCATGTTTGGAATAAATATGTTAATTAATTGCTTAAACATACATGTTTGACACAGCGAGGATAATCGATAATCTGCTGAAATTTACAACGAATCATGGAAATAGAAAGTAGGTACTCTACACTGCTCCAAAATACCGGAACAGTCAATATCATTAACCAGGTTAATGAGGTCAATTGGAATTTAAAAAATCAAGTCTCCTTAAGTAGCGACTTGCATGGCATTTGCAAGGAATGATGTAGGTATTGATGACAAAGTTAATGGATTTACGTGTGTTGCCTTAGAAATAAACACACTTTCAGGAAGAAAAATCGTTATTGATTATGTTAGTAGGTACACACCTTTGCAGTCACACATTATGATTTAAATTTAACTTCAATACTTTTTTCATTAATCCGACAGGTACATATGTCCAACTGAAATATTTAATACACAAAAACTCTAAGATTATTTTGCTGAGGAAGGTCCATGAAAAGACGAACAGGAAATATTGACTTGAAAGTTGTCAATTGTGCTAATAATTCTTGCCACTTAAATTCAATGTTGAAGCACTTCTTGGCACTTGAATCTCAATTATCAGAAATGCTCTGTCTGCCAGTGTTTTCTGGTGGTATTAAAATAAAGATAAGGATAATGATGAGACCGAAATGCTTACCTCTGCAAGTATTAGAACTCAATGATTTGAATGGATATGCTTGTAGGTTACCTTAAAGTATATGAACAGTTTAATGAATGGCAGCTGATGATGAGTTCACATAGTTGATAAAATTCTGATTTGACTGATGCAGGTATCTGGAAAGAGAATATAGAGTAAAGCCATTTTTCTAAAATTGAATAGGATTACAATTTTCTATGCGTCGCAAATGACAAAACTTATTATCACAGTTTGCATTAAGTGTGTAAACTTTGTCTTGGCAAAAGCAGCAAAAAATCATTATTTTTCTTGGAGGAAAAAGACCTTTTTCCTGACCGCAATCAATTGTGGCAGATTTTGGTGATTAAAAATTCCTCTTAATAGAACAGGAGTGCAGAGTATTCCATCCTTTATTGCTTGAAAGTCTTTGACTGGCAACCTACAGAAAACTGTCCCCCCCCTTTTTCTTCCCTAAACCTCCCCCAAAATTAATCAAAGTAGAAATTCCAATCGAGTTGTTCAAATCATTTGGGTACTACGAAGCACTGATTAGAGATCTGGATCATGAAGTCATGCACAAATGTAGCCTGTCAAATACATTTCCACTCACCTATTTGTGAATTCAGGAACTTTTCAAAATTTTGAAACAGGAAATTGACATCATACTCTTTCTGCATCGTTTAGCTTCCTTTGTTGCTCGTCAATTTTTCACGCTTTCTTAGAATCCTTTGACCTTTCAATAAAGAGCAGTAAATTTAATTGCAGTATGATGAGAGATTAAAAACAAGACCATGCAATAATCTGTGCACAAGAAAATTTTACTTCCAGGCTTAGAGTTGAATTATATTCACACAAGCGCTTTTGAGACTTCAATTTGATTCAAAACTGAGTAGTGATGAGGCTTCGCGCTGGTTTTGAAGTTTTTTCCCTCTCAAATCTGGTCTGATTAATTCTAACGTGTCCTAATGGATTGGTGAGGTTGAGGTAAAGGAGGAGGGTGAGTTTAAGTGCTGGATGCAGAACCTGATTTTCCAGCGGACTTTGGAAATAGAATTAGTGTAACAATGCGACTTAAGATGAAGTACATTCCTGAAATATTTCGTATTTTCTTTCTCTGCTCATTTGATCAACTTAATTCTATACATGAGCATGGCTGTAGCTTTTTGGAGGGACTAGAGCCTGCCAAAATCCACCTGTGAAAAGAAAGAATGACTTCTGCTTTGTTACCTACATCCTTCGTTCCGTCCTTGTTGCTTAGCCCTCTGATTACAATAAGGCAGTAGCTTTGTAACTGAGCAGTGCCTGATAGAAAGCCAAAAAAATAAAATCAAATTGTCTAGGAGTATTTGAACCAATAATTACGAAAGTATTCAATACAAATCACAATTGCCGGCTACTGAAAATTGTTGACATGAGAAAGAGGGAAACACAAACACATTTTTCCATTCCATGAGAATATTCCGAGGTTAGGTTTTTATTTACTTTCCTGTTCCCTAAATTTCATTTATTCCTAATTCCAAATGATAGGAATTCTATAATTTTATTGGCAAATTCTAAACGAGACATTGTGATTGGTTATGAATGGTTCATTCCATAAATTCCTAGTCTCTGGGTAAAAACCAGCTGACCATTGAGAATTTGAGGTTAACTTACAATATATCAATTTGATAACGCGCACTGTGACCGTGTGCCCTTGTTCTGTTCTAATTTTAAATCATGGCTGCTGCTATCGGGAAAATTGCAAAGGGTAAGTTTCTACCTACAAATTGAATCATTTTGATTGTCCATGAGTTTGAAGCCATCAGGCACTTACTTTCCAGATTCAACCGTTCCACCACAAAGGTCAAAGCTTCTGTCAGTTGCTCATGTACTTATCTCCTGTTTCAATGACTTCAGAAGTCTCCAACTCTCACATAAATTTGTATCTGAAACTTTTTGTTAAAGGTTTACACGGTTACAGCCCTCTGCGTAGGGGATATTTTCTGATGTATGTTCTTATCTGAATATGAAACGACTTTTTGAGGATTAAGCCCGAGTTTCTCGCCATTTTCTCTAGATAATCATTCCGTCTATTTGGTTCTGATCAGTACGCAGTAAAAAGACAATATGTAAATAGCATAGAGTACATAGAGTTGTAATGTAAATTGAAGAGCTAGCGCGATGTTCTGCTCAACGAGTTCCAAACCCGATGTGCGTGTCGGGTCACTTTTTTTTTACATGTTCGATCCAAAATGGCGGTGTGGAATACGTTGAGATTCCTATCTTCTTTGTTTACATTGGATGGCCAGGTACCCATGCATCGCAAACAATCGATCATGTAACCAGCGTCACACAGGAGTCTTGAAATTCGGGACCTGGAAAATGCTTAAAAGTGGCACCAGCTCACCCACTTACATTACTACTCTTTGTACTTTATGGGAAAATGTTGCATAAAATTCAGGCCATGATCATTTTCATATTAGAATGTAAGAGCGACTATCATTGAGCAACACTTCTTCTTTTCATCCTCTATAGAAAGGTTTAGTTGCTATGTCAAATGTTTTATATTGCAGTTTGATACCGATAGCCCAGTGCCCAATGCCCAGTGCTGTAAAGTAGTAACTTCCAAGAAAGTCTTCTAATTAGAATTTTCACATAACTGTGTTGCTTTTGAAGTTCAATCTTTACCCTTGTTCCACTGCTGCGGCAGTCACCAAAATCTTTAGTGCTTGGTGATATGTGACCCTTTGGGTTTCTGTCATTCTTATCTTTTCTTCATTCAAGAACTAGTGGAGATGCTGAATTTTCCAGCTATCCCATTTCTTGAATTGTCAATCACTTCATTAAAACCTTTTTTCTCTAAGGTTTTCAGAGTGTCAACTTTTGTTATTCTTTCTTGACTCTTCAGTAAAAAATTGCTGCAATTTGCGCTGGAACCGTGTGAATTCACCTAATTTTCATGTTCATATGTACCAGCATTTCCATTTTTCATGCAACTGTGGTTGTGTGGCGAGTTTCTGCAATCCTATAGTATATTTCAGGAAAAGTCCGAAAGATTGTCCTAACACCCACTAAGGTATTTTATCAGGAAAATGACGCCATTTCGTTTTTTTTTTTTTTTTTTTTTTTTTTTTTTTTTTTAAATTGTAGCTTAAGTAGTTGGCTCAGAGAGTGTGAAAGCACACTACCCAAGTATGTTTGAAATCCTACAATCCCAGAAATTTTTAGATTCATATTTTTGTGCATTTCTTTTCCCAGCTATTCCAGTGATAGCCAAGCCAAGATTTGCACTTTTCATGAAGTATGCCAAGGTAGAACTAACTCCTCCATCCCCCCGTGAATTCGGTGAAATCAAGACACGTCTGGGCAATGTTATCAGTGCATACAGATCAGGTCGCTGGAAGACTTTGACAGTCAAAGTAAGTTATCAGAGGATTTTCTTCTCTTAATACTTATATTTTATTCTTTTATATTTATTATTTTATTTCAATAATAGGTAGCATTGATGCCCTGTAAGGTAAGAGAAGAGCTTCAAGGTAAGGTCTAGAAGTTGATGGCGAAGTAAAAGTTGTTAAGTTCCTCGTTTCAAAGCCATCATTTTGTCTTTTCTGCCTTCATTTTACACATGCTGTCTCAAGAATATCACAAATAGTGCTGCAACTCATAAACTAAGCTACCTGTCAAGTTGGTCTTGCTTTCATTTCATACAAAACTCTACTTGAATGAAACAAACACCGCCACAAACACACCAACACTGCCAAAATTAGCTTATTTGAACAAAAATTTATGGTTTCAAGGAAAGTAGTCTCAAAGGATCATTCACTCAGTTTTCCTGTTCTTTTATATTCCTCCCCTGCAACTTTTTTTTTTTTTAAAATTTGTCCATGATGGCTTTCTGATGCAATTTACCTGTGAAATCCATTAGGCAGTAAATTATATAACAAAGGTAAATATCTAGTTGTTACTCTAGTCTGACAACGTAACAACGGTAAATATGCAGAAAAAATATTGAAAACAGTACAAATTCTAGGCATGCAGAAAAAAATGAAAATATGCATAGTAATAAATCATGTTGCATCAGTTGGACATTCTGTTATTATCAAATTGTTTTACAAGTGGTCAGGTTGACTTTTTGGGGGGAAAATTACCTGGAAAATGTCGAATGCAGCTATTAAAGACAAACAATTTAGTGATGGAGAAAGTTGGCATTTCCTCCATTTTCCAACCGCATATTTTTTTAATTTTTTAAGTATGTTGATTTTGATCTTTACAGCTACTTATGTTGTGTTTTAAATAATACTAAATCAGCTCAACTGATGGTGCAGTTTTTGAGTTGTAGCATCAGTTTAGGTCGTTTTAGAATACTCCTCGTATCTACTCTGACTCTCGAGGAATTGAAGAATTATCTCAATCGGTGCCAAAATCACATCAAATTAAAATAAATTTTCCCTGTTGTTGGCCTTTGCAGCAGGGCTAAAATGATGTGCCCCTATGTTGTTCAGGTTGAGGCGCATAATGAGCAGACAATATGCAACTACGCTCACTTTCCTTTCTTTCTTAAGAGCTTATCTGAATCAACATTTGGTTAAGCAATTTTAGCTTGATTTATTAAAATTTATTATTAGGTACCAAAACTTATTCATGGGTTTTATGTGTTTACAGGAAGCATGGATCAACACTCTTGTAGGTGCAGAGATTCTCATGTGGTTCTATTTTGGAGAAATCATTGGCAAGCGGAACATTATTGGTTATGACATTAACTTAGCGTAAACCTCTGTATTTCCATTTAAGTGTAGTTATGTATCTCATATTTTTTATCTATCTTACCAGTCATGGATTTTAAGCAGAACATAAGTCTTTGAAGATAAACTTCTTTTTTTGAAATCTTTTAAAAGCAACCATCTTGAACAGAAGTTAAATTTTTTCTCCCACGATTTTGTTGTTGGTGTTATTCTTTTTTAATTTTAAAGTGAGTAAGTTAATTGTAACATGTATTCTTGTATTGTATTCCTCTAAACATCTGATTTGTACAATATGCGAAAAGATTAAAAGATTATAAATGAGGAATTCTTATTTACCTTCTTTTTGTTTTAATATTATCTGAATGATCAGCAAACAATGGCTGATTGTCTGAGAGCCGGTCCTATTACCTATGGCTAAAACTGCTGAATACATCTGTTACCTTGGTGTCATGCGTTTATCTTTTTTATGAAAAAAATCCATTCTATCATTGTTTGTCAGTCACATATAGCCTCTGGCTAAATTTGTACTATTGCACTGAAAAAAAAAAAAACTTAACAACTGTCAACTGAGGGGGCATTTCCCTTAAAACTTCCATTTACCTACTCCGGGCAAAAGTCAGCTCCAATCAGAAAAAATGAATATTTTATGGCTTGAAATTCTTCAGGCTGAACTTGAAATGGTGAAGAAAAATTTATAAAAATTTGAACTGAAGCAATGAATTTTCTTGTGTAGAAAACAACATACAGAGGATAATTTTGAATCACAGAGGTCGGCATTTTGAGGTTTTTGATTTGATCAGAATTCAGCCATCAGACTGCCCATTACTAAAAATTTATAGTTTGGATTAAGTGAAGGAACAGGTTAGGAGGAAGATTGAGCTGCCAAAGAAGCATTGTCTGTTAGAAATAAGGTTAAAAACTAAGTCAATTTCAAACAGGAAAAAACACTTTAAAAAGTGATTTGTTTAAATATGCAAATCAGGAGACTCCTCTAAGGTTTTTTAATGTAAAATGCCAATTGGTCTTATGAGAGATTTTTATTACTTCATTTTTGTGCTGCAAAGATGCTAAACATCCATTTAGTTAAGTAGGTAGGAAAGTATGTTGCATATCAACAATGAAACTACCAGACCATGCAGGTATCTCAGTTTGCGACATTGTAGACTTCCTGTCATTCTTTTTTTCCCCTATGGAAAATTTCTAAATGTCAGTTCTTGGAAACTTCTGTGTTTATTCCTCTCTATGTGAAAGAAAACTCTGAAAATTTCAAGAAATGATATTGATTTGTTCTCCTTCAAGAAAATAAAATGGGAGCGAACATTTTTAAACATTGCAAACGAAATACATGGTCTGGTAGTTTCACCGTCCATATATTGCATCTTATGTAGCGTTTTGCATCAATGTAAAAGAAATGTGGCATTTAAATTTTTTCACATAATTCTCTCTCATCTTTCATGCATTTTACATAATTATATGAAATAATTGGTATGTTTTAATGATTTTATCTATTTTTCAAATCCATCCGGTAGTCAATGCTATTCAGGGTCCAGAAAGTTTTTTTCCCGCATATAAATCAGCAAACCTTCACATAAGCTGCTTTTTTCACAGGAGAGCTTAGTGCCCGTTATAAAAACGCGCCGACCCATTATTCCAATATTAGAAAAATAAAGCGCCTTCAAACTCACAGAACGCAATTGTTACTACTCGTGAAATCCAGCCATCAGCGTGTCCGCTTCGAAGGAGTTTTTTGTCCTCGCATTACCTTCGGAGCGCCTCAAGTTTGTTCCTAATTTTATGAAAAGGATAAAAACCTCTTGAAAAATAATGCTAATTCCAGAAAAAATAACTCAAAGAGAACCATTATCTCGGGATGCAAATTTTTGTAATAACTAGGCTGAATTAAAATAGAGGAACTCAGTCAGATATTGGGACTTTCTCTTATCAAAAATTCAGAGTAGAGAAAAAATTATTTGGATTTGAAAAAAGGCGATGTTTACCTCGCATACTGCCGTGCTAAGGAAGAACGCTGTATGAACCTCCAGGCGTTGCCAAATTTCCTTTGGTAAATCACGAATTCTCGGGAGAATTTTGCAATATTTTTCTTCCAATTTTTCGTATAAGTTTGTTCGCAATTTCACCTTAAGTTTCTGAAAATTGCAAGGAAAAATATTCATAGCTTTCCTAAAATAAAAATTTTATCGAAAGAAATTTGGCAACTCTCGAATGTTCATACGGCGTTTTTCCTTAGCATGGCAGCATAGAGGTAGCATGATGGGCATGTAGTCTTCGCAGTCTAAAAGTGCGCAGACTTATTTGGTGTGGACTCTGAGTAGGGTGGTTGTTTGGTATACCAGAGCAAAGTTTCTTGAGTTTTACTATTCACCACCGTAGAGAAAAAAAGGAAGTGTTTGCATTTCGGGCATCTTGGAATTTTTTTGATGACGCAGGTCGGTACAGCGACTTTTGTCATCGATTTTCTTGGAAATGGTGTAATTTATAGAAAAAAGTCATTCTATAAAAAGTGCTTGAAATTATATCATGAGTTGATTTAAGTAAAAAAAAATCGGAAATTATGGTCCGTTTTTCATATTTCGAATTCCGGATTTCGCTGGCCAGGTTGTACCGACCTACGTCACAGGGTAAACAAACCTCAAGATGCAAACACCTCCTTTTTTTTCTCTATGATTCACCACTGGTCGGTCATGAGCAGCATGCACATTGCACCACGTGTCTACGCGGTAATAGACATCAGGAAGAAAACGCTATAAAAATTATGATCTCTCGAGTAAAACCTGCAAGTGAGTATATGCGGGCCCATTGATTGGGCACTTGCTCGGGTCTTACAGAATGAGGAGGAGTGTTGTATGGTTGTCGAGGCATATTTGACGTAACTCCATCCAATTCGAAATGGTGGGAAGCCAGATAGAGGAACAAAAGTGAAAAGGACATCAAACTTAATTCAGGATGTGACTTCAATATTAGGAATTAATAAGGTGTATCTAATACGATGAAACTTTGAAAAAAGTAATATCCGTCTTTGCAACTTGCTAGGATTGTGCAGCACGGATTTTATGATGGATTAAAATTTTTATTTATACCAGCGAAAACCTCTTTACTGAAGTCACGGGTCCAGGTGCTTCGCCATAAACTATGTATAACTTGATATAATTGATCTCCTTTTTAACGGTCGACATGATCCGATTGAAGAATAAGTAAAAAAAGAAACTGTTTTAATATATCTCGATCGAATCGATGTGGGTCGGTTCACGTTTACTTTTTTCGATCGATTCTAGTTGATTCCTTTTTCTTCCCATTTCTCTTCTTGTTTCTTCATCTCCAGGGCCCGATTCACCTACTTGCCGCCCATTGGCCACCTATATTTTGCCGCCCCTTCTAATTCGTTTTAAACTCGATAAAAACCATCAAATGAATGTGCCAGCGGTGGAGAGGTGCATAAGACGCATTTACTCGTGTTGAACACATTTTTTGGGAAAACCTTGTCAACACTACTAGCAAAAGTTCACGAAACTTTGCACGAAAGTTAAGTTCCGTAAACCTATCTCTGTGTGAACAAGGCCTTCCATTCACAAGAAATGAACGAAAAAATTATGAAAGAACAAACATAAATGTGGTTCAATGATTTTAACTTCCGCCGCCGCGCCGCGCAGACCGCACCGTGTTGGACGCAATGCGTGAAGTATTCACGCAGTCTTGTAGGCGCTATGCGTTTCACGCTGACTGCACCGTATTTGGCGTAATGCGTGAGGTATTCATGCATTCTTTTAGGCGCTATCCTTTTCACGCTGACCGCAATGACCGCACTGTGTTTGATGCAATGCGTGAAGTATTCGTGCAGTCTTGTAGGCGCTAATATGTGATACATGCCGATCGCCGCGCCGAGGGATTCTCCTTTTCATCTCAAGTCCTCGTTATCATTTCTCTCTAAGTCGCGCCGTTCCAGGCCAAATTGCGTGTTTGGTCTCTCTCTTAACTCGACTTATTGAAGGTGCTGTCTCTTGTATCACTAAGAGACGACTAAATTAGATATTACTACACTCTCAGGAAATGAGAGATGTTGTCGCCTTTTCTCGTTTGTAATTTTGTTTTTATAAATCCGATGTTTTTTTTTTTATACTTACACTTTAAAAAATTGCAAATTTTTGCCGCCCCTTACATTTGCCGCCATGGGCCGCGGCCCATGTGGCCTCCTCCTTAATCCGGCCCTGTTCATTTTTCTCTTTTCTTCTTTCTCTTTCTTTTTTCTTCTAATTCATTCTCTTTTCTTCATTTTTCTTGTCTTCTACTTTCCTTATTTCTCTTAACTTGTCATTCTTCTTCACTCTTATATTACTTCTTACAACTACATCCTCTCTTATTTTTTTCTCTTATCTTCATGTTTTCTTCTTCCTCTATCTCTTTTATTCTTTTTATTTTTCCTCGTCATCATCATTTCATCTGTTTCCAACTTTTTCTCCTTCTTCTTGCTCTTTTCTTATACTCTATTTCTCATCGATTTTTCCCCGTTTCCTCTTCCTCTTTCCCTTGTCTTGTTCTTCATTCTCATTTCTTCTTTCTTTTTCTTCTTTTTCGCTCTCTTCTCTTCAATACCGTTTCTTTCCCTTTTCTCTTTCCTTCTTTTTTTCTCTTCCTTCTCTTTCTCTTTTTCTTTTCTTGGTAAATGTTAAAGTGCCTCTTAAAAATAAATGTTTTATCATGGATCTACTTCCTTTTCTCTTATTATTCTTCCTCTTCACTTCTTCTACTTCTCATCCTTCTCTTTTCACTCTCTTTTATTATGGCGTCTACAAAGAATTCACTGACAGAAGCCGTCTGTTTGTCATTAGGGGGATGATACCACTATTCGACCTCCTAGGAGCTCGCGTTGCCTACACTAAAAATTGAAGGCAAACTGACATGACGTGAAACTTGAAGTAACCCGCTCACATTTGGTGAAAAGCTCTAGTTTGTGAGTGTCCCGATTGTGCATGCCATTTTACAATGATATCGCAATTCGATCATAGGGGGAGCTCGTGTTGCCTACACAAAAAATTGAAGGTGAACTGAAATGGAGTCAATGCAATCTTTCCCCATTTGGTTGAAACCCAATTTTTTTGTGTTCTGAATAAATGTGCAATTTCAGGGTGACGCCATAATTCTACTTACTTCTCTTTTATTATTTCTATCTCTGTTCTCTTCTCCTTTCCTCTCTTTTATACTTCATCCGTCTGTAATCTTCTTCTTCTTTCTGATCTCTTTTTTCTCTCTTTTCCTCTCTTTTTTCCTCATTTTCCTTTGCATTCTCTTGATCGGCGTTTTTGCAGTTTCCCCTTT